ACACAGAATAACTTTGAGGATAAGTAAATACTGACTGTGGTACTGATAATCTACTCCCTCCAACAAGTGTGTACCCGACTACCTGTGTGAAGTTTGTGATGTCAGCAGGTGTAGGAAGATATGTGGGAAAATCACTAGAACTGGAGAAATAGGGAATGGGTTATGGGAATTCTTGGCTTAAATGTGGTTAGGAGATTGGCAAACTTGCGTTGTTTTATAAAGAAAACCAGAGTCTAAAACTTAGAATAGAGTTTGCCTATCCTGAGGTAAGAGAAGCACATCTAAAGGTAAAATAATGGATCTAGAACCACTGCAGGGATTAAATATTGACAGTTGACAAAGCAATATCTGGCCCAGTTTTTGACCTCAGTTGGAATTCTTTAAACTGTATTTGCCATAAACTTCCATAAACTATTCAATAAAATTTTTTTAGAAAGTTGCATAGATCATTTAAATACATGAATATAGATGATATCCAATGATAAAGCCTAGCAGATGTTGTGGGTGAAATTTTCCCCAATGTAGCACAATGATTATTTGCATCTCCTTTTCCATTTGTATCTATTCTAACATTAAAAAAAACTCTGGGGAATTTAGTAAGTACTTGTCAATGCATAGGAAATTCAGTGGATATTTTATAATTCTCTTCTTACTTGCTCTGTCAGCATCATTCTACATGACACCCTAAAAACCTTCTTCCTGGGCCTTCTAGGGTACTGGGCTCCCCGGTGTTCTTCCCACCTCTCTGGTTGCTCCTCTATGCTGGTTCCTCTCTCCCTGATCTGTATGTTTCTGAACTCTCCCTCTAGGCTCTCTTCTCTTCTCACGGTCAGTGGACTTCCTGAATGATCTCGTGGCTTCTGTTACCATGCACTTATCCACCTGCCTAGCTGGCAGGTCTTCTATCGACTAACATTTGCTTCTAACAGTTCACCTCTTCAGCCACCACTGCATCTAAACCACCATCATCTCTTGCTGGCCTTCCATGTGTATGCTTTGTGCCATCAAATGCTATCCCTACAATGCAATCGGGATGATCTTTAAAAAATGCAGTTGTCTATCGCAGGGTTGAGTTTTCAGTGTACAACAATTCAGATGTACAAAAATGTAACTTGATTTTCCTAAAACTAGGCTTAATTTGTACATCTTAGTGCTCATTTCCATTTTCTAGCATTACATTTTTATTATTTTTAAAAGATTTATTTATTTGAGAGAGAGAGAGAGAGAGCACGTGCATGAATGGGGGGAGGGGCAGAGGGAGAGAATCTCAAGCAGGTTCCCTGCCTAGTGTGGGGCTGATGCGGGGTTGGATCCCATGAACCATGAGATTATGACCTGAGCTGAAATCACAAGCTGGCGACTCAACTGACTGAGCCATCCAGGAGCCCCAAGTGTTCCATTATTTTTAATGAATCTGAGTTAAACTCAGTCTCTTTCAATTTTCTTAGTGTCTTATGAGTAAACTTAGTCATTTTAGGTTTCTGACCCTCCTCTTTTCTCCCCGGGTCCACATCCAAGCTGGGATTGGGGGGCTTTTGCAGCAATGAAGCTAATCCATCTGCTCTGTAGCTACTCTTAGATTTTCATCAGCATCTGCTGAGAGTAACTACTATCTAGTCTCTGGTCACTGGCATCTACTACTTCTGCCAATGTCTTCCCTTTCTCCTTGGTTCTGGGTTGTCAGGTCCGTCCAGGTCCTTCTGTCTTTAGGCCACTTCACTCTCTCTTGTAGGCTCTTCCCCTGCTACTCTCTGGGACACAGGACAACTCAGGTGTTTGCCAAGTTAGCTTTAAAAAAGTGCAGTAGAGCATGTAACCTCTCTACATGTGCATAGAACAAAAAGGCTCTCCCTCTAAACCTGAAGTTAAAGAAATGTCACTGAATTATAATCCTTTCCATATAAGCTAAAAATTTATTTCTGGTATTTTTCTTAGGTCCATTTAAAAAAATGTCAGATTGAAGAATAAAGTGAACTAATTCAACTTTCTAATAATATTCTGTTGCTTTAGATCTCTTCAAAGTCTCTGAAAAAGAATTTTGAGAAAGAAAAACAGAGTTGGAAGCATCATACTTCCTGATTTCAAGCTATATTATAAAATTATAGTATCAAAAGCATATGATGTTGGCATAAAAACAGACACCAAGATGAATGGAACAGAATAGTGAACCCAGAAATGAACCCAAGCATATATGGTTAACTAACTTTTGACAAGGGCACCCAGAAGACACAAAGGGGAAAGGGTAGTCTCAACAGATGGTGCTGGGGAAACTGGACATCCACCTGCAAAAAAATGAAACTGGACTCATCTTACATCACACAAAAAAAACCTCAAAGTGGATAAAGACTTAAACTGAAACCATAAAAATCCTAGAATAAAACACAGGGAAAAAGCTCCTTGACATTGACTTTGGCAATAATTTTTTGGATATGACACCAAAAGCTCAGGAAACTAACAAAAAAGCTTCTGCACGGCAAAGGAAACCATTGACAAAATAAAAAGGCAATGTATGGAATAGGAGAAAGTATTTGCAAACCAACTATCAGGTAAAAAGTGAATATCAGATGAAGAGTTAATATCCAAAATATATAAGGAACTCACACAACTCAATAGCAAGAAAACAAGCAACCCCAATTTAAAAATTGGCAAATGACCTGAAGTGACATTTTTTCCAAAGAAGACATACAAATGACCAATAGTATATAAAAAGGTGTTCAATATCACTCATCACCCAGAAAATGCAGATCAAAATCACAATGTGATGTCATTTCAACATCTGTTGGGATGCATATAATCAAAAAGGCAAGAGAAACAACTGCAGCGAGGATGTGGAGAAAGGGAACACTTATACACTGTTGGTGGGAATGCAAACTGGGGCAGCCACTATGGAGAACAATATGGAGGCTCCTCAAAAAATGCAAAATAGAACTACCCTATGATCCAGCAATCTCACTTCTGGGTACATAACCAAAGGAAATGAAATCAGTACCTCAAAGACATATGAGTAAATCTGGAAGACATTATGCTAAGTGAAATACGTGAAACATAGAAAGAAAAAAAAATGCATGATCTTATATGTAGAATCTAAAAAAATCGAATGCATGGAAGAAGAGAGTAGAACTTTGGTTACTAGCCACGGGGAAGTGGGGGGAAATGAGATGCTGGTTATAGGGCACATGGTTGCAGTTATGTAGAATAAATAAGTCTAGAGATCTAACATAGAGCATGATGATTATAGTTAATAATACTGTACTGAATACTGGAAATTTGCTAAGATTGCTCACATCACACACACACCAAATGGTAACTATGTGAAGAGAAGATATGTTAAGTAGCTTGACGGTAGTAATCATTTCACTATGTGTATTTTGTATCACATCATCACGTGGTACTCCTTAAATATAGACAATTTTTGTTAAACACACACATAGACACACACACACAGAGTCCCTGAGACGTTTAAAAGTGTAAGTCATAGCAAAACATCAGTAGCCTCTCCTCCCTCCCTATCTCCCCCTCCCTAGGAAGCTACCTCTCCACCCCACCCCTCCCTTCCCCTTAAGCACAGGGCTGAGCTGCTTACACAGGGAACACTGCCTGGTTTCCCTTGCTTCTCAGACACTATCAGGACCTCACTACCGTGCACTCATCAGGGCTGCGCACATATAACCAAGAGAAAAGCTGAAGTCCCTGCCTACCCCCCTCTGTCAGCAGGCCATCTGGGCATGTGTCATAGGAGGCCATCAAACCAGTGGGCATCTGGGCTCCGACTTGTTGTTTCTTAACAGCAAGGGGTTCTGGGCCAGTGCCTAAGAGCAGTGGCTAGAAAGGGCCAGAGAGCCACTTCTTTTTTTTTTTTTTTTTAAAGCTTCACTACAGCTTTTGACTTGAAAATAATGTGGCAGGATAACTGACCGAAACATTAAGATATTTTCCCTCCCTCCCCTATCAGACCAATAGCCAGGCTCATCTTAGGACTTTCCTGCCTAAGGGATTTTCACAGAAGCTGCATGAGAGGAGCAGCATTTCCTGTCTTTGGCAAGAACCAAACTCATTGCAGAGGTGGTGCCAGGTGTCCAGGTGGAGGGAGGGGGCAAGGTGGCAAGAGAGTGTGAAGCCTCAAAGAAAGTGAGGGATAATAAATACAGATCTCCCAGACAGAGGTCAGCAGGGCTATCAGTGGCTGCCTCTGCGGGAGGTGATAAGGCGGCAGAGAGGATGGCCACCTAGAGCATGTGTGGACCAGCTGAAACTCCCAACTTGACCATTTCCAGGTGCCTCCTGCAGTTTCCAGGTACGATAGCAGCACAGTTCCTGACTTGAAGGGGTCATGAGGCCAGCGAGGAGATGGGTATCCCAAGAGTAATTATGTGGGCAAATAACTAGTGAGCTCAGACTCTACTTGATCCCTTCGTGGGTGTATAAGGTCATAGGGCCTTTGCACAACCTTGGAGAGGGGAAGGCCTGATGAGTCTGAATCCCCTACCAGTTTGGTGAAATGGGGGCACAGTGTGACTTAGGTTGATCAGAAGAAAATGTAATAATGCATTTGGATTTGTACATCTGAATGGAGATTTGAACCTTCCATACTCTACTTAAGGTTGCAGACACTGACAAAAGGAATAGATATATTTTATTTTTTACTCCCTCTTATCAAACCTGCAACCTGCCCCACTCCCCCAAACTCCATCCCTTTCTATTCCCTTCTGGTGACATATGCCAAGTTCTTGTTAAAGTCTATATAAAGGAAAAAAAGAAGGAAAAAAAAAAAAAAAGAAAAGAGAGGAGAATGAGGTCCGAGAAAGTAGGAAGTGTGTGGAACATTCTGGAAAAGTTTTTATATACGTTTGAGAAATGGAATGAAATGAAGGTTCTCCCCAAAGCAGTTAGAACATAATTACCTCAAACCTGCCATAGAATAAAGGTCAGAAACTAATAAACCAACAAAGTATCTGGCACTGCCTTTCCCTTCAGGAGGTTCTAACTCTACTGATTTTTACCTGAGAGGCACTGCTGAGAAGAAATTCGTCTATTAATTGGCTTATGAGGATAGACACCCAGATAAAGAGGCTTCAGTTGCTGTGACAAAATCATTTCATTCAGTTTTTTCTGCAGAATGAAATATTCTTCAGATAACTTTGATATCTAAAAAGAAGGTCATGTGTCAGATTAAATCAAGGAAAAGAATTCAGAGGGCTCCACAGGTACCCTGGGGTCTGGCAACTGCCTGATTGACGGTCCCGGGACTCTCACATATGTTTTCTCCAGAACCCACCCTGACCCTGGTCTGAAAACCGAGGGTCTGGAAAAGTCCTCCCCTGACCAAGCCTCCTCCCACTTTGTGCCACTTGCGCATCTCCTCACATTTTCCATTTAAACCTGCCAAACATGTCATGCTACGTGAATGTTCTGTCCTGATCAACTCCTCCCAGCGTTCCTGAGACCTGGCTTCTGTCCCTGACACTCTGTAGCCATTTAGTCCGAAGAACCCCTCTGTTGCCTTGGATTGGGTTAACCCCATCCTCTCCTTTCCAGTGTTCTCAGCCTCACTTCAGGCCACTCTCCTCTGGTTCCTCTCTTTCCATCTGGCCCCTCTGCCTCCGTCTGGGCTGCATCTGGCTCCGTTAACACAGCTGTCCTGCTGGGTTGCACGCGGGGCCCCTGCTTTGCTGCCTCTAGCTTCGTCCCTGTGGAGCACTGAATCTACTCCTGCGACATTATTAGCCAGCTCTAGGGAGATGACTTGGTAATTCTGTATCTCCTCAACGTCTCTGACGTAAAGCAGGTCAGGATTCAAATCTCCAATCTGGTCTTTAGTGTGAGAAAACACATGCACCAAGGAAAGGAAGGACCATATGTATATTAAACTCTCTATTTCCATGTCCTTAAAAAAAATAGAACAGGAAGGGGCTGGAAGAACTCTAGGAACAGCCAGAAGTTGGAGATGTTTGGGTCACACCTGTAACATGAAAGAGGTGTCCACGAGCCACTGTCAGAGACAAAAAGCAGAGTTTAGGGACCCATGAGTATTAGGCAATCCCTCTTTGATCTAACTCATGATGAGATTTCCTTCCTTCCTTCCTTCCCTCCCTCTCTCTCTTTCTCCTTCCTACTTTCCTACCTTCTTTCTTTCCTTCCTTCCTTTTTTTTTTTTTTAAGTACACTCCACACCCAGCATGGATCCTGATGTGGAGCTCGATCTCACAACCCTGAGATCAAGACCTGAGCTGAGATCAAGAGTCAGACGCTTAACCGACTGAGCCACCCAGGCGCCCCTAATGATATTTCTTCCATGATTTTATATGCTATTGATTATCCTGATAATGCATATTAACTTATAATATGCATTTTAGGGGTCATCTAGTTAAAATCCTTCATTTTACATAAAAGAAAATAAAGGTGCCCACATACAAAGTGATTTTCTTAAGGTCAAACACCTAGACAGAAAGCAAGATCTGGAATTGGCATTTCCAGGAGCTGCTCGCTGTGGTCTCCCTCCAGAGTACTGATTTATCAGTGTTCAATGCACACCCCATGAGAAGCCCTAAAGCCATCTGCCCCCTTCTAGAAACAGTTGAAACATGCCTACTCATGGCACAAGATATTCTCCAACAGGGAATCTTTCTTTGTGGGTTTTCTTTATGGTTCCTCATTGTCATGACATAACATGTAGATTTTCATCTTCATTGCACATATGTCTGAGTATGGCTACATGCCTAATTTTGACACCTAGTGATGTCTGCTCAAAATTTGGGGCAGAAAAAGCATAGACTTCAAAGGATTTATAAAACTTTCTTTTTCCTTTATAATGAAAGATCTCAGATACGGAAATTTGCATTGTCAAATGTGAGCATTTTAGTAAGCTGTATAAACTGATGACTACTAGTCTCCTTACTACACAAGATTTCTATCATATCTTACATTATTTCTTACGGCACATTGTTTAAAAGAATTATAGCTATTTGAATAGCAAAACCCTTGAGACATTACAAAAGAGGTTTGCAGTTTCATAAAAACAGATGAAACAGCGTTATCAGTTATCAGTGAACTATAGGTTTACTTTAGTTACTGTGTAGTTCCCAGAGACTTCTACTAAAAAATAAATCTGTTTATTTACATACCTGTTTTGAAAAGATGGCCAAATCACATGCTTCTTTCTCTAAAACTGTTTTTGGGTCTTTGTCATTCTTTGTCCTGGAATTACAGGATTCCTCATGTTTTGTGGGATAAGAATACAGATCATGAGTATTTCTTGCTACATCGGTCGGTGTCGCAATAATCTTTTGGTTTTTAAAAGAAGACACCCTGTCCTTCCTTAATTGCTGCCTCCTCTTGTAGCTCCGGTATTTGCTCTGAATGAACACTGCTGATCTGTCTTCTTCCTGAGCTCGGACTCTTGCTTCGGCCTGCCTCTCTCGGACCGTCCCTGGCCTCAGATGGCATCTCTGCTGGCTGCAGGCTGGTGCCTTCTGGGTCACTACTGATGTCTTCTTTTCCTTTTCCTTGCTATTTGTGTTTTGATAGACTGACTTTTGGCTAAGACTAGGTTCCAAAGTCTTTCTAAAAGAAGGCTGCTTTGTCTCATTCTCCGCTGACCAAAGTCCTGGGTAGCTTGGCCTTTCTGATAGGGCCTTCCTTTCTAGATATGCTGCTTTGGGTTCTTCAGAATTCCTTTCCTCTGCATACCTCTGGTAGTAATTCTGGACCACAGTTTCCTCCTTCTCCACTTTCCTTATCTTACTGTTCTCTTCCAGGTCTTTCATATACTTCTTTTGCGAGTGTCCTTCTGCCCAAGGGTCCCCCACTAGATGTGGTTCTTGCTTAGCCTCTTCCTCAAACATGTTATTCACTTTTTTCTGAGTTTGATATCCTCTGTTGTTATTTCCAATGGCCAGAGTGCCTTCCTCTTCAGCTTTGAAAGTAGAATTCTTCACTACAGAGGTACTTTCTTTATTGTTTGGAGCTGGAATGACTGTTTCATTAGTAGAAACTGCATTTTCTGTCTGTTTCTTCACAGAAGATTCCCTGTGTAAAACAGATTGCATCTGAATATATGATACTAAACTGGAGCTTACTTACCTCTTCTGGCTATAGCTACATGCTACATGGTGTTGGGACAACAGTAAAGGGGCAAAAAAAGCTCAGAGTAAGAACTTCTCAAGTCACATTAATCAAGTGCTCCCCAAATGTTCTTTCTGGTGGCTGCTCAAATAATGATAAAACCAGTTCCAACTTAGGATGAGAAATATCCTAGCGTATTTTCACCTAATGAGGCATCAAAATCCTGGGAATTTCATCACTTCAAAACATGTCTTTTTCAAAAGGAAGTACCTACAGTGAGGAGAGGTTGTGGAAAATATGCCTAAATTTGAGACTAGCAAGCAACGTACGTTCACTAGGCTGATGTGCTGTATTTCATAAGCTCGAAGTCTGCTGATCACAGGGAATATTGTACAAAATTAAAGGGAAGCAGTGTCCCTGCTACAGTTCATGATCATATAATATGTTGACCAAAATTGCACAGTTGTTACTTTACCAATATCCTTCCAAAGTGATTTTCCCTTATCTTGAAGATAACATCTTCTCTACAGCTTTTTTTTTTTTTTAAAGCCACATAGCCTTTTTTTTTTTTTCTTTTGGTGAGGACAAAACCCTCACAAAAGCAGTATGGCCTGAAAAGGGTGCTAAGGTACAGTGAAAAAGTCATAACCTGATACCCTGACATACCCTGACATGCTACTTGTGGGTGTTTTGCCAAAAACTTTTTATTTTGGCTCAGGAAAGCCAGGACAGAGTTTTGGTCTTTTGCAATCTGTACAGAAGGACCTGTCTTGAAGTTGAACTTGGAAAAAGTTACCGGAACTCAAATTTCCTAATTCCCCTGGCTACTTCCTAGGCCTACGATAGCATCTTTAGGTTTATGCAAGAGGCATAACAACATTGGACCAGAGAATTAGATGGGGTACCAAGAACCCATAATTTCAATGAATGCCTTATACTAGTATTTTGAATACCTTCATAACACCCCCAGAGAATGCCTATACTAGTCAGAATACAATTAATGAGAAAAAGATAAACAAACTATATCACAAAGCTATAGTAATCAAAACAGTGTGGTATTGGCATTTAAAAAAAGATCGGTGGAACAGAATAGAGAGCCCAAAATAAACACACACATTTATGGTCGATTAACTTATGACAAAAGAGCTAAGGATATACAATGGGGGTAGGATAGTCTATTCAATAAATGGTGTTGGGAAATTAGACAGCCACATGCAAAATAATGGAATTGAATTCCTATCTTACACTACTACAAAAATCAACTCAGAATGGATTAAAGACTTGAACATAAGACCTGAAATCATAAAACTCCTAGAAGTAAATGTCGGTGGTAAGCTCCTTAACTTTGGTCTGGGTAATGGTTTTGTTTGTTTGTTTTTTTGGGATTTGATACCAAAAGCAAAGGCAACAAAAGCAAAAATAAACAAGTGGGACTACATAAAATGAAAAAGCTTCTGTGCAGCAGAGGAAACCATCAATAAAATGAAAAGGCGACTAACTGAATGGGAGAAAATATTTGCAACTCATATATCTGATAAAGGGTTAATAACCAAAATATAGGGCGCCTGGGTGGCTCAGTTGGTTAAGCGACTGCTTTCGGCTCAGGTCCTGATCCTGGAGTCCCGGGATCGAGTCCCACATCGGGCTCCCTGCTCGGCAGGGAGCCTGCTTCTCCCTCTGACCCTCCTCCCTCTCATGTGCTCTCTCTCTCTCATTCTCTCTGTCTCAAATAAATAAATAAAATCTTTAAAAAAAAAAAAAAAAAAAAAAAAAAATAACCAAAATATATAAAGAACTCGTACAACCAATAGAAAAAAAACAACCTGATTTAAAAATGGGCAGAGGATCTGAGCAGACATTATTCAAAGAAGATACGAAAATGGCCAATAGGTACATGAAAAGGGGCTCAACATTACTAATCATCCAGGAAAACGCAAATCAAAACTACAATGAGATATCACCTCACATCTGTTAGAATGACTATTATCACAAAAGACAAAAGAAAACAAGTACTGGTGAACATGTGAAGAAAAGAGAATCCTTACGCAATGCGAATGTTGTGTGTCGGTGGGAATGTAAATTGGTGCCATTACGGAAAACAATATGGAGGTTCCTCAAAAAACTAAATAGCAATACCAGCAATCTGACTTCTGGTAGTATATCCAAAGGAAACAAAATAATTATCTCTAAGAGATCTCTGCACTTCCATGTTCATTGCAGTATTTCTCGTAATAGCCAAGAGATGGAAATAACCTAAGTGTCCATTAATGGATGAATGGATAAAGAAGGTATGGTATACATATATACAATGGAGTATTATTCACCCACGACAAAGAAGGAAATCCTGCCATTCTTGATAACATGGATGAAATAAACCAGACAGAGGAAGAAAAATACTGCATAGTATCACTAATGTGTGGAATCTGAAAAAGAAAAGAAAAATCAAACTCACAGAAACAGAGAGGTGCGGTTGTAAAAGGGCTAGGTGGGGGAAATAGGGAGAGGTTGGTAAAACGATATAAACTTCCAGCTATATGATGAGTAGGTCTGAGGATCCCATGCTAAAACATGGGAGTAATCACTGTTTTGTAGAAATGAATTTTGCTAAGGGAGTACAACTTAAATGTTCTCACCAAAAATGCATGAAAAAGAACTATGTAAGGTGATGGATGTAGTAATGAATTAATGGGGAAATCCTTTCACAATGTATACATATATCAAATCATCATGATGCACACTTTAAATATCTTAGAATTTTATCTGTAAATCATTAATTTTATATGTAAAAACCTCAATGAAGCAGAGATTTTTAAAAAGATGAATCAGTTCTTGAGATCTAATATACAGCATGGTGACTATTAATGATGCTGTATTATAGACTTGAAAGTTGCTAAGGGAGGTGTTCTTAAATGTTCTTATCACACACACAGCTGTAATTACTGAGGTGAGGGAAATGTTAGCTAACTTTACCGTGGCAATTATTTCACAATATATATGTATATCAAATCATCAGTTGTACACCTTAAACTGACCCAATGTTATATGTCAATTCAGTCCCAATAAATTTGGAGGAAAAAAAAAAAAAAGACAAGGGTCCTGGGATTGGGGCTGGGATGATCTTTATCTCTCTCTCTCTCTCTCTCTTTTTTTTTTTTACAAGGCATTTTATTCCTCAACGGGAAATCCATCTCCAGCCTGGGTTTCCAGCAGGAAATGACCCTTCTCACCAAAGCGACTTTAAAATGTGTCTCCCTTAAAAACTAAAGATGTAACGTATGGTGATTAACATAACATAATAAAATTAAAAAAAAAAAGTGTCTCCCTTAACATCACCAATGATGGCACATGCTGACACCATGACATCTTGGTGTGATGCACCAAAAAGGACACAGCATCCCTAATGTAGTACTCCCGCCAAAACCAGCTCACCCGAATCTAGTCCCGAGGCAGAAATCAGATAAGTTCATCCTGCATCTGCAGACTGGATGTTCTGCCAAGCATCTGACCTGGGACATTTTAAAAATGTGAAAGGCATAAAACACACACACACACACACGCATTTACAAATACATACACCCACTCACACACTCCCTCTCTCTCTCTCATACACACTCACATACAAAGGCTTGGGAATTTCCTTAAAGAAGCCTTTAAAAATGTGAAAACTGAATGTAATGTATTGTCTTTGGATGCTAGATTTTTTAAAGCAGCCGTGTAAAATATTAGGACAATCGGGGAACTTGACTATGGAATGTATATTAAATAACAGTATTATATCATCATTAAATTTCTTTTTTTTAAATTTTTTTTATTTCACATTTTTAAAATTTTATTATGTTATGTTAATCACCATGCATTACATCATTAGTTTTAGATGTAGTGTTCCATGATTCATTGTTTGTGTATAACACCCAGTGCTCCATGCAGAACGTGCCCTCTTTAATACCCATCACCAGGCTAACCCGTCCCCCATCCCCCTCCCTTCTAGAACCCTCAGTTTGTTTCTCAGAGTCCATAGTCTCTCATGGTTCATCTCCCCCTCCGATTTCCCCCCCTTCATTTTTCCCTTCCTACTATCTTCTTTTTTTTAACATATAATGTATTATTTGTTTCAGAGGTACAGGTCTGTGATTCAACAGGCTTATACAATTCACAGTGCTCACCATAGCACATAACCTCCCCAATGTCTATCACCCAGCCACCCCATCCCTCCCACCCCACATCACTCCAGCAACCCACAGTTTGTTCCCTGAGATTAAGAATTCCTCATATCAGTGAGATCATATGATACATGTCTTTCTCTGATTGACTTATTTTTTTTTAAAGATTTTATTTATTTATTTGAGAGAGAGAATGAGAGAGAGAGAGAGCACATGAGAGGGGGGAGAGTCAGAGGGAGAAGCAGACTCCCCGCTGAACAGGGAGCCCAATGCAGGACTCGATCCTGGGACTCCAGGATCATGACCTGAGCTGAAGGCAGTTGCCCAACCAACTGAGCCACCCAGGCGCCCTCCCTGATTGACTTATTTCGCTCAGCATAATACCCTCTAGTTCCATCCACGTCTTGCAAGTGGCAAGATTTCATTCCTTTTGATGGCTGCATGATATGGAATGATCTTTATCTCTTACAAGGAGATACAACTTATTCATCTTTCCATCAATTCAAGTTTTATCAATGAGACAAAATCTACATACTTACATCCCTTCCCTTAATCCCTACCGAGATCCATGTCCCTACTGCACCCTTTGCATATTTTTATAGCAGAGTTAACTTGTGTTTCTTGAATCATGTATTTATTGGTTATATTTCCTTTCCATGATTCTATGAGCTATTTTTAAGATCAGGGTTTTGTCTTATTTATCTACGTGTCCCTACAGCTTAGCATAAAACCTTCTGTATGAATGAATTCAGGAGGATCTGCTAATATGCACTTAGAAATATTATATGAAGGCTCAAGAGAAGAAAGGGCAAAGTGCCATGTTTTGAAGATTGGATTATAGTTTAGGAGTTAATGGCATATTGGTTATTAAGGCCATGGGAATGAATGAGAGAGCCCAGAGATGATGATATTTAGATGTGAAGGAGGATTTAAATATGGGGAGAAGAGGAGGAATTAGCAAAGGATACTTAGAATTAGGAGCCAAAATGTAAAGAGCAATCTAGCAGAAGCCTAGGAAGAAAAAAAAACTGTAGAAGGAAAGGGTGATCATCAGTGTGAAATGTCAATGAACTCCCAAATAGGATAAAGAGCACAAGAGTGGCCACTGGGTGTTCACTGACATTTAATGGATCAGTATTAGGAACCTGATTAGGTGCAAGAAAGACTGAACTTTATTTTGACTTTACAGATTTGAAGAAATGTATAATGTCAAAATGGTATAAGAATGAACATCATTATACCTTTTATTTTCAAAGTTTTTCTTGTAGTCAAATTCCTGATCATTGGTCTGAATGGTTGTTACTGCTGTGTTTTTCATGTTAACAATTTCTTTCCTTTGTTTCCTGACTAGATGTCCTCTTGCAGCTGAAACATATAAGGCCCGGGGTTGTGTTAATTAGAATAAAGAAAAAAAACATTACTTAAGTGAATAGGAACATTTTTTTTTTGACCATCAATGTCAAAGAGGAAAATTAAAGACTCCAAATAGAACATGTTCATTGAAAATATTGTTCATTAAAAAATATTGTTCATTAACAAGATTCTTCTAGATGACAAGTTATAGCAAGAAAATAACTAAAGCGCCTTTTGTATTAAGGAGAGTCTGGGGATGAAACTGAAATGAAAGAGATTAGCTAAGCTGATGAAAAAGACAAAATGTATTCATTTGCTTAAAATCTGCTGATAATTACTTCAGCTATTTGTGAGAGAAAGTCCCTATTATCTAAGTGTATGTTTTGGACTTTTTGGCCAATTATCCTTGGAGCCAGATGTATTTCAGAATTCAGATTTAAACTTTTTATTTTATAAAGGTAGTTCAGAGCAAATAACATATATCCTATAACATTCCCCATGCCAGGGCAACATCCCATAATAAAAAACATGAATGTTTCTCCAAAAAACCTATTTTTACTACAGGCGATGATAAAGGACTATAAATATTAGGTTGTGTTTCACTGCCAGATGAGTTATGATAAACCTTTTCTTCAGTGTTTCATAAATTTTGGAATTGTGGATAAAGAATTTGATCCCAAATTATAGGGATTTGCATTTTGATGTTTCAGTGAGAAGTTAAGGGCTTTAAAATCCCCAAAGAGATGAACCATTATGAATGGGCAGACCTGCGACTAGAACATGAATCCTTCAAATGTTAGTCAACTATTCTGCCCACCATGTCAGCATTCTTCAGAAGGCAGGCTGCAAATTCACAGTGGATTATAAAATCGATTTAGTGGGCCAAATCCAGCATCTAAAAACGAAGTGGGATAAGCCAGAATAGAGAACATCAGAGTGCATTGCTGGTAGTATGAATGTATATCAGGTTACAGAGTTAAATATAGTTTTTACTATGGACGTCCAATCAACACATTTTGAAAGATACTGTATTAAACCATGCCAGGTTCTAAATTTGGTTTCTCATAGAAAAATGGAAAGTGAAATCTAAAGTCTATTGATACGTTTTAATAAAAATTATGAAGTATGATTATAAATATTATTTCCCTACAGCTAACAGAAAGAAATGGATGCCCTTTAACCAAAATGAGATTTAATCAAGTGGTCAAAAATTACGGCAAGTGTAACCTTTGGAATAAAGTAGGAAAAATGTTATTGTTCAATCGATTATAATAATATGACTCCTACGATCTATAATTCATTCAATCACTTGCTGTATCTTGCACAATAGGTCAACTGTGTTCCACTGAAGCCTGACAGAAAATTGAAAAATTGAATTATTTTATTTAAAGCAAAACATTCAAATATTAAAAGTGTCCATCACTAAAACAATCTGATTTAGATTTGGTATAGAAAAAATATCAACGTGACAGAGTTTGGAATTAAACACAAAAGCTATGTAAGAATGGAGGTTTGTATATAAGATTAGATTTTATGTCCATCTCTAAATGTAACATTATGTTTTGTTACACTGTGAGACCACCTGAGTGATTACCTGACTGTATTATTATAGCACTCTCTTTCCTTTTCTCCTGTATTTTTTGGTATCTTCTTGAATACAGGAATCCTCTGACACAGGCTTGAATCAAAATAAGCTTGTCAATGGCTTCCTTTCGCATTAAATTTAACTGTTCCACATGATAATATTTCAGGAACACCTGAATTAAAAGAATTAAAATAAAATACAAATAAAATGATGACACACAAATGTGAACACGTCATGCGCTACGCTTTGCAGAACAGACTATATTCTAAATATTTTTAGATTTTGGGCATCACTATCTTTTGCTTCTTTGGCCTGGATTTTGCTATAACATTACAGATTTTTATTCTTGAAGGAAACCTCTGTTCGAGAAGGAATACCGTTTAGAAATCATACTGTTATTTACAACAGATTTTGTGGAATGGGCCAATAAGCATGGAGGATGTTCAGCTCTTTTATCGAAGTTTTAGCATCATATACTCTGTTAAAAGCTAATTTTTATGTCTCTTAACAACTGTATCTCCCAAAGTTAAAGATCTTACAAATCTAGTTGTAAGATAGAGGACACTTACAGCTATAGTGATTCATCCATCAAACATTTATTGAGATCTGCTGTTATGTACTTATCTGCTGGGGATACAAAGGTGAATAAGGCAGGGACATTGTCCCTCGGGGGCTCCTAAGGGGAATAACGCAGAGAGATGGCTCCAGATGGAATTAACAACATTCTCACTAGACCCTGTGGCCAGCATGGGGAAAGGAGGGCTGACTTCCAATCATTCTAGAATCAATATGAATCGGGGAAATGCAGGAGCCTGAAGGCCTGGAGTGGTTCTCATTTAAGAGTTTTCCACCTCCCCCAGGAAATACGAAGATTTTGTTTTTCTTTTAGTACATTTACTAATAAAGGTCACCTAAAAGAGAGTCTGTTGAATCTACTAAGAAAGTTACTTCAATTCAAATGTAACAACTGAGTCATAAGAACTGGAAACAGTGAAAGTTAGTTCCATTACTTGAAAGCTTGGCACCAGAGGCAAACAGTTTAGCATTACAGGTTTTGATTGAATTTAGTTTTAATTTCTATGGGATTCTACATGTTAATATTTAGTCCATTCTACTGTTGACAATTCATTTAAAATTCAGTCTGTTTAAAAAGGTCATCTTTTTATTTATTTATTTAGTTTGCACAGCATTAGAAATGTTTCTGTATTGAATATTTTTATCCATCTTAATGAGTTGGAAAGGTGAAGTGGAAAAATACAAATAGCTTTAAAATGCTACTTAAATACCACGCAGAACTGGAACCGCAAAGGGCCTTTTTACAAGTGAAAACTCCATTGGAAGTCAGGCATGTGTTTCAGACCATAAATCATGAGATTTCAGCCTGACGAAATTCATCTTTGTGATCATCTAAAAGAAAATGATGTAAATAAAATACACATCTTTTTAGTGCTCAGCATCTCCCCTTACTCAATACTGAGGGGAATATGGATTACTGAATACGTAGGGCACTCAGCCTAAGATAAACTTATTTTTTAAATCCTTTAAATTGTTACGGGAGTAACTTCTTATGTGAACATTGGGAAAATTCTCTCTGGCATGTTCCACCCGGAGACATAACTCATGTGGAAGTTTGTTTCCAACTCTGTAGGTCTGTGGTAGGGCTGACAATGATTATTTTGAGTGGTCAATCTCTGGGTACTTCTTTTCTTTAGATTGGCTCTTTTCTCCATCCTCCCCCAGTGATTTGTTCAGTGTAACCCCGAGACCTGGTACCCTCTTTATTTCCTTACCCCCCATTTTGTCATGCTGGAGGATGTCTGAGAAGCCTACTACATCTTTTCTCCAAGCAGCCAGCTGTCTTACTTCCATATTCAAAATTTGTTATGATTTATTACTTCATTCTCTAAGGGACTAAATAAGCCAAGATCTCTCAGGTCTCAAGTCTAATACATAAACACACCGATCTCCAAATACATACAGCAAGTCTACTAACAATGGTGAACAGTTTGCTCCAAATAAATTTCAAATTTACAACAAAAGTAGATTTGAGAATTAGGAAGAAAAAATTAGATCAATATGATCCAGTTGATTATGATTCTCTGCAGTATATATTCTGTATATTATATGATATTAATATATATTAATATATTCTGATTATTTACTGACTATATTTGGTGGTGATAAAGATAAAATATGTCAGTATGCTTTCAATACTATTTCCAATACTAAATTGGAATACTATTTCAATATTATACTCACTCTAAATTTCATCTTTTTTTTTTGGAAAATCTTCAAGAGAAACTTTTCTTGAATTTCTTAAAAGAAACCTTTATGACAACAAAGTGTTTCATTTCGCTGAAGAAAACCTTTATAAATTTATCAACTTAATCCCCTATTTTAAGCTAGAGATTCTGTAACATGAAAAAGCCATAATATTTTCAAGCACTGTAAAATGTTAGAATTCTCAGTAAATCCAACACAACTGTTAATTGTTTTTTTCTTGAAAATTACATGAAAACATTACTTTTGTTTTTCCAAGAGCCCAGTTATCCAGACCAGCTTTTTCCAAAATGGCAGCACAGGTGTCAGGGCTCACTGGGGGCTCTTCGTTCCACTTGTAGCAGAGAACATGGTACCTTCAAGCGGGAAAAAGGGCTGGTTAGTATTTCACAAAGGTTCCACACCTCAGTAGCCTGGTGGACACTCGACAGCTCTGTGTAGGGCAGGAAGAGACTCCCAGACTTAATGCAGAGGACCCTGCAGGCATTCTCAGAACTCTAAAGTAGACTGACAAAAATCTGGACCGGTCTGTTTGTGTAAATTTGAGCACTATTTTCTCAGTTTAGTGATTACTTTTCAACACTTACCACTGAAATCCCCCACAAAAACTCCATCACTGAAAAAAAAAATTAGTTGAGTATTTTTTTAATAAGATTATTTATTTATTTATTTGACAGAGAGAGAGAGAGAGAGCATGAGCACAAGCAGGGGGAGTGACAGGCAGAGGAAGAGGGAGAAACAGACCCCCAGTGAGCAGAAAGCCTGATGAGGGACTGGATCCCAGGACCCTGGGATCATGACTTGAGCTGAAAGCAGATGCTTAAATGACTGAGCCACCCAGGAATCCTAGTTGAGTATTTTTAAAAAAGCAACCTTTCTCTGGGTACTAAAAGCAGAAGGACTGCAGTGGGAAGCAGCAGAGGGAAAGATTTTATTCTTTTCTTCACCTTCACAAAAACTTTGGAAGCTGATCTTAAAATTGGATGAAGGAGTTAAATTCTCTGTGAACCTCCCACCACTGTATATATGCCTTCTATCACTATTTTTCCTTGAGTTACACTGTGTCTCTCCCTGGAGATTTTCTCTATTGGTTTAATACATGTAACTGAGGAGAGGAAGCAAGTAAGGGGTTAATGCAGGAGAGAACTGAAATAGGCCCTAAGTTTTTCAAGCTGACCAGGTGAATGAAAGGAAGAAAAACTGGTTTACCCTGGTCAACAATCTTGTGCAAAAAAGGCAGTTTTCTAGAGTTTTCAACACTCCCTTATTTTTAATTTCTTGGTGCAAGATTGAGCTGCCAGTCCAGAGGAGACAAAACATTGAGTTTTGGTAGGTTTTGAATTTCCAGACAGAGGCCATGGTGTGCAGAAGACTGGGGTAGGATGGTCAGGAGAACTGAGTTCTGATCTTGACTAATTACCTGTGTAAATTTAGACACATCAGGGAACCTCTTTAAGTACCAATTTCTTCATCTAAAAATGAGCCCGTAGATAAAACCTCTTAAGAACATATTCTAGCTCCACCAAGTGTCATCCTGTTAAGTGTGCAGATGAACCAGTTTCTGTTAAGCTCTTTGGAGAATCCTGGCCTAGAATGGTCTAGAAAGATGTGATGATCATAGTTTTTGCTGCCTGTGCAAATAACCTCGGGAGGGGGGGCCCATTAGCGTGCCCTCATTCTTCAGGCCTGCCAACTTGAGGACTAGACTTGCTTGTGGACACCTTGTGACTGAGGAGCTACTCTGCCCGCTCATCCTCCCAACTGTCTCCTGGTTTTTCTTCTTCCCAGAGCCAGCCAGGATCTCATGGTTCATCATATGAGCAGCCCTTAGTGAGCTCCCTCTTGTTCTATTTGTAGAGTTGCAGCTATCCTTTTCTTAGGTCTCTGGTTGAGTTCACAGGTGTTCAGAATGGTTTGGTAGTTGTCTAGCTAGATTCCTGCGACCAGATGAAACTAAGGTCTCCTACTCTTCCGCCATCTTGGACTCCTTCTCTCCTCTTGTTCTTTTGTTACATATGCTCTGCAAACTTGCAAACCTGAACCACCCAGTCATTGTTCCCTGCCCTCCTGTTGGGCTTTGGAAACCCGCCAGAGAAAATCACTGTTCATTCAAAGTGTGCTCCCCTGTGACCCCGCTGTTTCCTGAGTTAGCCTGGCCCACAAAGACACTCAGAATCCTGACTGGTGTCCACGACCACATTCCTCACTCAATCCTCACAACTATTTAATCTCTCCTGCCCTGTTCTCTCCTCTGCCCTCTGCACTGCTCTCAGCAGATAAGCTGGTCTGCTATTTTACCAGAGGTCACCAGATGCAAGTTCTACTGACCTCTTCCCCAGCTACAGATCCCTTCTTCAGAGGAGGAGATCTCCACCCTCCACCTGCCTGTGTTCTAGATGCCACCTCCTCCCCCTCTTCTCTTCCATGTATTTTCAATCCCTTTTCTCTCTTCTGGCTCCTTCCATTTAGAACAAAACAAACCCTCTCCATCTGTCTCACCTGAAATGATTCTCTGTCTCCCACTAGCTTTACGGATCAGTTGAAAGATTGCTTAAAATAACTGTCTCTATTTCTCCACTTCCCATTGCTCTGCAGCTCCTGGAATCTGATTTAGTCACATAGTAAGAGGGACTCTTATTTCATCACCTAAGACGTTTTAGTGATGAAATCTAAAGGGATGTCTTCCATCCTAATCCTAAGTGTTTTTTCTGGAGCACTGGATATTGTTGACCCCTTTCTCTGGCTTGAGTGTCCCCACGATTGCATCCCACCTTGTTCCCTGGCTTCTCCTCTCTGTTGGTCTCCTGACATGCCTCATATTTAGACTTGATGCTCAAATGCTAGTGTTCTCAATGTCCCATTTCTTTCTAAGCTCTCCCCACAGGTGTCCCGTCTACATGCAGAGTTCCAACCATTCTACAGTGGATGAGTCCTGAATCTTCATCTTCTGCCCTCTTTACACGAACTCTAAACACATCACCTCTGACTGCCTGCTCCGCACACCACCTGCTCATACCACAGGCACTCCAAACTCAGCAAGTCATCACCTTCCCTCTCCTCTGCTAATTCTTACCCCTGTGAATGATACCAACCCCTTTTCAAAGGTGATAAAGCTAGAAACCTGTGTCATCCTACATTCTTCTCTAGTCTCCATTCAGTGTATCCAACAAGCTTAAAAACTGCTCCGAAATCCATTTCGTTCTCTCTATTCCTACTGTCATTGCCTTGACCTACTTGTCATCTCTTCTCACCCTGCCTTCCATTAATTGCTTTCCAACTGGTCATGTCCACCCTGCTTCCCTCTCCTAGCTCTGTCTGAATTGTCTTAATAAAATGAAAATCTGATCATGTTCTTTCCCGACTTGAAAGTCTCCAAGAACATCCCCAGTTCTAAGCCGTGATGGCAAAAACAGGTGCTTTCAAAGGTTGGGCACAAAACATATGTAATTTGGAGAGCAGAAGAAAGGTTGGAAATGCAAAGGTCACACCTGCCAAAAAGCAGTCATTTAAAAGGAGTTGACATATATGAAGATGGGCATGAAAGCTCCCTCCTCCTCCGTATCCCTGCCTGCCTTTCCAACCTCACCTTGGCTAGTTTCCATGCACAGCTTGAACTCTGGTTATAAAAGCTCTTTAAAATTATGCCAAAAGGCCACGATTGCTCATGCCTCCATGCCTTTGTATGTGTTAATCTCTCGGTCTGTACGTCCTTCATCCTCACGGCTTGTTCCTTTAAGGAAGACTCACTCTTTCAGTATCCTAGAAACTCTCCTTAATGTATCTTTAATGAATAGACTAAGTGGGTTAACTGACATTCTCCTTCCCTGGGTGGATGCACTGACTGGGGTCCACCGCACACTTGGACCTCACGGGTGGTTGCTCTCACTCGGGTGCCTGTGTGCTTCCACTCCTGCCTGGTGAGCTGTGTTTGCTGCCAAACCTGTTTACACCTGCACTTGAGGTGACCAGGTTCAAAAACATATTATGAAGGGCCACCTGGGTGACTCAGTCAGTGAAGTGTCTGGCTTCAGCTCAGGTCATGATCCTGGAGTCCCGGGATCGAGCCTGGCATTGGGCTCCGTGCTTAGCGGGGAGTCTGCTTCTCCCTCTGCCCCTCACCCCGCTTTTGTGCTCTCTCTCAAATAAATAATAAAATCTTAAAAGAAAACCCATATTACATAAATTGATGGACTATGAGTGAAAAAAGCCAGAGAGCTGTTTCTACAAAATTGCATCAAATGCTTTCGTAAGACTTTGTAAAGAAGTGGTCTAAACCCTATGGAAATAAATGTGGATGAAGCTATTACAAAGGGTTGAGGAGAATCTTAAGAAGCAAGAAATATTCAGCTCTATGATTGTTTCACAAATGTCTTTAACTTCCTGCTTCATCTCAAGAAATATTAACTGGAAACCATAAATAAGGGATTATGGATAGCTTATGTAAGAAAGAGTCAATAAACTCTGATTAGTGGACTTTTATTCAAAGAAAAAAATTGAGCCTTATCAAAAGGTTGAAAAATGAATATATGTTCATGTTTCAAGTTAAAATATGATATTTATAGTACATATTTATATATTACTTTTATGATTCTTTGCTTTATCTGAATTTCTACTCTAAGAAGTCTTCCTTTTTCTTCCTCCCTTCCACTATCTCGTCATGCTCTCAGAGTGCCCTGTGCACACTTATATTAAAAATGTCCACTATTCTTTCATTCACTTGATAAATATTTATTGAGTAGCTACTATATGCTAGGGACTCTTCTAAGTGCTGGGGATGCAGCAGTGAACAGCAGATGAGCACCCTTGTCCCTGGAATTTATATTACATTGTATGATAATGTACATAATTAGTTTCCTGTTCCCATAACCAGTCTGTGAGTTTCTTAATGTCAGAGGCTCTTTTATTAATTTTTGGGTGAAGATTTGGGTTAATCTTTTTTTCAAGGACTAGAACACCATGGGTGCTCAATTAAATGTCTGCTGAAGGACTAATGACCAGCCTCTGGGACTTGCTGGGTAAATAACCATCTAGGTAGACCAGTTGCTTTTATGGAGGAAAGCCCCCAGACCCTTGCTTTGTTGCATCCTTTGTTTTAAAGACTTGTTTTAAAACCAACATACTGGCTTTTTCTTTGTTTTTTTTTTTTTTTTTTTTATGGGCTAGCTTCATGGTTTATGTTGTGGGATTCAAGACCACAGCACTGTAGGTACAAAGTAATTTTGGGAGCTTGGGGCTGAGGCAAGAATAATAATGAAAATAATTATAACTAAAATGTATTAATGACATTTGGTTCTATGAAATAAACTACATATACATTATTTCATTTAATGCTCATAACCACATATAGAGTAGATACTATTACCATCATCCCTATTTGCAGATGAGAAAGATTGAGGCTTGAAGCTTAGAGCAGTTACTCAAAGTAACTTTGAACAAGGTCACACATTTCGATAGTGACAGAATTTTCTTTCTTGGATTTTTTCTTTCTTTTTTTTTTTTTTTCCAAATTTGGGTTTTCTGGAGTTTTCTTTCTTTCTTCCCCCCCCGCCCCCCACATTTGGGTTTTCTGACTTCAAAGCATATGTACTTACCTACTTCACTAAACTACTGCCTTCAGTGAGTTCGGCTTGAGTCAGAGCTCTGGTAGCCAAACCACTGTAGACAGGTGCCTAGTGGAAAAACGGAGCTCACTTCGGGGGCTTCTGAGTATAAGGGTTCATTTGAAAAAACTACAGTAAAAACCCTGGGCAAGGTAAGTTGAGGTTGTGTATCTTCCCTTAAGATTATTTCTTTGTCACAAAACGGAAGAGTTTATCTACAACAGAGTAGACAAAGAATCTGATGAATTTTGCATCATACACGGAGGGTAAGTCAAAGGCTAAGGCAGGACAGAGGAGAATGATTTAGTCCTATTTACACCTCCACAGGGCCTTTGCAAATTGTTCTGTCTCCTGAGAGTCTTTGCCAATTTAGATGACAGCTTTCAAATTAGTGATGGAGAAAAGGTTTAGCCTTTTATTTCTGGAACTTCCTGTATTCAGAACAGCTATTCTCGTGTTCTTTGTATACTTAGTGTTTTTCCCCTTCCTCATTTATCATGTAGTAATTTGGTATTCTATATAGCATGGGGCTTTGAAATACATTCACGAATTTATTCTCACTTCTGTCCTTCCAAATAGGCAAATTTCAACTACAATATCATCAAGAAAATAGGTTTAGTTCTCCTTACTGTCCATGTTGTAAAACCATGGATAACTGAAAGTATAAGTTTAATATGGCATTCGAGGCTCTGTCTACATAATTTTAACCTGATCAGTCTTTCCATCTCATCCCATCTTATCTTCTGTCAATTTCTGTCACTTCACTAACATCCACTGTGCTAATCCGGACAAATCAAAGTCCCTCTAGCTTTTGACACGCCAAACAGTATGTTGAGAAGACCTTTCCTGTCTTTTCCACAAACTGTACCTACTATCAGATTCTAGTTTAAACCTTCTTTCCTGATTCTCTTATCAGCCCTCCTGGAGATAATCTTTCTCTTCTCTGATCTCTTGCACTGTGTATATTATTCCCTAGGATCTTGGTATTTATTATTCTGCACTGCTTATTAACTTTCCATATCTATGACTCCAGTAATTTTAAATGGATTGTTAATTCTTGAGGCTCAGCCAGTTTTAAAATATGCTGTCCTCTGCAATGCTTAGCACTCTCCCGGCGTGGAGCACAACATGAGGCTTGAACTCATAATCCTGAGATCAAGACCTGAGCCAAGATCAAGAGTCAGACACTTAACCAACTGAGCCACCCAGGCACCCCAGCTCAGTATCTTGTACCCAAAGAAAAGGTCACTGAAATTCCATAGTAATTATAGTAATATTATATTAATTTTTAAGCAAGTTAAAGATCAACTTCTAAAAAGCAAAAACCATGAAAATCGGTCACATTATGATTTTAATTTGAAATTTGAAACTTCTTGATATCAAGTATTTTTAGGTTCTCTGCGTTCATGTACAGAAAGGAGAATTTACTGATAGCCAATAAGAAATTCCAATATTTTTCATTTCTTAGTTTTGGATATAAAATGGGGTCTGCTTTGCAAGAAGGGAAGTCAGTGATTGGATGCTGGCTCTAATTCTGAACCCTACAGCCTGAGGTTTTAAAGTCTATCTTAAACTACCATAGAGGATTTGCCAATCATGGAAGTCACCATATTTGTGTAACTCTGTTCTCCATCATGAAGAACTGGTAGGGTTTTCTTCATTTCAAGGTGCTCAGAACGAATACCTTTCTTGTCTTTTTTTCTCAATTATAAATCAGAATGACGTATTTATTTACTAGCTTTTAAAAGTTATTTCTTAAAAAACAAGCTAGCAATACTTACTTACTGAATACCTGAATGCTTTCAAACCTGTTTTTTTTTTTTTTTTTAATACCTTTCTTTTCTTTGCCAGGTGCCAAAGGGGAAAAAAGGCAAGAACTTACCATAGATACCTGAATATATGAAAGTCTGCAAAAATAATTAGAATTTTCATTTTATTTAGTAAGGGTCTTGGTTACCCCAAGTGAAAGAATGCTTGACACTAGACAAGATGGTGTTTTGTTTTGTTTTGTTTGGGGGGGGGCATTAGAAACTTTGTTTTGTTCTTAATCCTAATTTGCACACTCTGAAAAAGGCCAGAGAATGTTTTTATAGGGAATTTCTCAAATGCTAGCTTTCACCTGAAAATTGTAATACTTTGGAAGATTGAAGCTTCAAGTTTCACAGCTAATAGTAATCATAGAATTGATAAATATCAGAAACATGGTGTTTAAAATATTAAATATATCAGGTACTAAACCTCTATATCACCACAAATGTATTACTTTATAAAATATATTTAATATATAGCTCAATTCATTTTACATTAATTTCAAATATTAAAAAGGACTTCTTATACCTGAGTCTTTCTGTTTTCTAAATACTGTTATTTGTCGTTTTCTAAATACTGTTTTCTAAATACTGTTACTGAGATAATGTCTCATTTGATCCTTATCACAATTCCACCAGGCAGTCATGACAGATTCATTAAATGAGGGGAAAATGAGGTTCAGTATAGGTCAGAGGTTCTCGATCTCAGCATGGTTAACATTTTAGGCTGGATAATTATTCGCTGTGGGGGGGCTTTTCTGTGCATTGTAAGATGCTTAGCAGCACTCTTGGACTCCATGAGCTAGATGCCAACAGCAACCCCCATCCCATCAGCTGTGACAACCAAAAATGTCTCCAGACATTAACAAACGTTCTTTGAGGGGCAAAAACTCCCCGTTGAGAATCACTGGTACAGCCCAAGGGTCACACAGCATGAGCACTGGGTTGAGAACCCAGACCCTCTAAGTGCTCAGTACAGAAACTTAGGCCTTTCAGTCATCCTGCCCATGACCGGTATCCTATGCAACCACATTGGATCTCCCAGCTGACAACAAAAACTTCCAGCCCCAGTTACCTTCTCTTTCAATGCAAAATCATTTGCAAAAACAAAATGCCTCCGTTCTAGAACAGCTGAGTAATTTTCTTTCCTATTTTGTTTCCTGTAATTCTTCTGATGAATTTCTCTATAAACTGTACTTGGAACCTTGAAAAGAAATCCACGTACCGCTTTATGAAGTTGGAGAAAAGTATCCTATGAGAGTATCCCAGCCTTCGAATTCTTGCTGTTTCCAGAATTCCAGTGTAACGAAGCTGTAGGAGAACTTTCTCTTTGTCATATTTTCTTGCCTGACGTTCGTTATTTGGTTTGATGCAACGGACAAAGTGAGGTTGGCCCACCACCATTTTGGATAACAAATCCATCAGGGAATACTATAACACGCAAAAAAAAAAAAAAAAAAAAAATTTCTCAGCGTAGCATACAGAAACTTAGGGGCTTGCAAGTCTTTCTTTTTATTATAAGAGAAAAACCTCTGAAAACTGGATTTTACAAATGTTCACATTAATTCACAGTCAATGGAGGAAAGTCTGTATTAATGAAAATTTTATTTATAGCATATTTTTAAAAATACAGATTTACTCATAAAAACGTAGGGGCAATAATTCGGAACTTAGCTATTAAAAGGTTGCCTGTACATTCTTAAGGCAACTTTAATTAATAGATGAAATTACTTTTCAAATAATTTGTTTGTAAGTAATTATACCCCTTCATGGAAGCTTGCTGATATATAATATTTAGGCATACGACTTAACTTCTTGCTTATACTATTAATTTCCTTGTCCAATTCTTTCTTTATAGAAAGTATGAAAGTAAGCACTTCAAGGCCTGTCAGGATCATCTCCTGGGTTAAAATAAGAAATGAGAAGTTAAAGCAGTTTACTATATAGGACGTAGGAGTTACGAAAATAAGCAAATTCACTTAAGTACTCTAATCTGCTCTAGCTTGATAATTTTCTTATTTATTTTAGAATTTTCAAAGTCACATAGATAGGAAAACTGTGTGTTCAGCAACAGCTTATTAAAACGGTAGCTGAGGGGCGCCTGGGTGGCTCAGTTGGTTGAGCGACTGCCTTCGGCTCAGGTCATGATCCTGGAGTCCCTGGATCGAGTCCCGCATCGGGCTCCCTGCTCGGCAGGGAGTCTGCTTCTCCCTCTGACCCTCCCCCCTCTCATGTGCTCTCTCTCTCATTCTCTCTGTCAAATAAATAAATAAAATCTTTAAAAAAAAAAATAAAATAAAATAAAACGGTAGCTGATTACAGGACAACTAAGTATAACAGAATAATCACAGCTCACCTAAAAGTGGAAACTCAGAAAATGAGCATGTTAAAGACCAGTGCTGCAATTTACTGGCAAGGTAACGAATGTATGAACATAGTCAGCTGGTGTCGGTTGGGTTTCTTTTAGTGTTGGGAGGAACACAGAAGCCTATGGTTACAAAGCCAGAGCAAGCCAAATACAGAATTACGCAAGTGACAAAGCCTTGGATTTGCTCGGCTTCTTCTTGGGCACCAACACTCAGATGCGATCCTCACACAGCTGGGCTTGCCACTTTGGCGCCCCCTTTTCATGACGTTTATCTGTGAGCCGTCATTCCTTTGGTAGTCCTGCAAGCACCTGCTGGGCGCGGGAGGTACGGAAGGGATACACTTGCCGTTGGCATTCGGAGAAAGAGCCTGCTGCAACTTCGGCACTAGTTTGTCTTAGGAACCAAGGCATGGTGTTTCACTACGTTCATTCTCCGCAGAATGAAAAATAACTTTAAAAAAGTACATTATATCCTCTATGGAATTATCTTCTATCGCTTTTCACTTCAGCCTGAGGAGGACAATGATTTTATGAACTAGTGTTTTTTTTTTTTTTTTTTTTTTTAAAGATTTTATTTATTTATTTGAGAGAGAGAGAGCACATGAGGGGGGGGAGGGTCAGAGGGAGAAGCAGACTCCCCGCTGAGCAGGGAGCCTGACGCGGGACTCGATCCCGGGACTCCAGGATCATGACCTGAGCTGAAGGCAGTCGCTTAACCAACTGAGCCACCCAGGCGCCCTGAACTAGTGTTTTAAAACATACACACAGTGTTGGATGTCACCAACAGTGGACTGATGTTGGTCTTGGATAGCTCACTTAAAAAAGGAAGATAATCTGTAATTCAGCTCTGCCGTGGTCTTGAGGAAAGGTGAATGTACCAGCAGCAAATGTGAGATAGTAAGCATATAAACGTACTACCGTGCTACTCAAAGATGACACACTGTCTGCTATGAGCTTATGACTTGAAAAATATTTAATAAAACTACCCAGCTATTTTTAAAAGAATTTCATGATTCTGTTAGAAAACTGGATTTACTCACTGAACACTTACTTATAGTAAATTTAGCCTAATTTCCTCCCCTTCTCCCGCCTTAAATTATACTATTAATAATTTTCAATTTTTAGTTAGTATTTCCTCCATTTTCATTGGCTGGTTAATATGATTTATTATTTTTTAATTGTTTTTAAAGATCTTATTTGTTTGAGAGAGAGCGAGCGAGTGACAGCATGAGTGGTGGGGAGAGGAGAGGGAGAGGGAGAAGCAGACTCCCTGCCAAGCAGGGAGCCCGATGTGGGGCTTGATCCCAGGACCCCAAGATCATGACCTGACTGAAGGCAGAGACTTAACCAACTGAGCCACCCAGGCACCCCAGTATGATTTTATCAGAAGAGATAAATAAGAACTAACACCAATAACGAGGACAGGGGTGTCTAGAGTTCTTCAGAGCACAGAGGAAGTAAAGTACTTCTTATCTTCCTTTTCTCCCATATTGTCCAGGGAAGACAGGTAAGAAAGGTCACCTTGACCCTATGCTAAGGACACAGTGGCTGACCTTCTTGGCATGTTACTGTGTTTTCCTGGTATTCCTTCTCCTTGCCCCATGCTTATACCAGTTCTTTTTCTTTTGAGGTTTTCATCTTGTCTATGTGCAGGGAGATATGGAATGGACCTGGATGCTCAGCCTTGTCCCATTTGCCCACCCCAAGATCATTTAAGAGTGGGATGGAGAAGTGATAGATAGTTATCATAGCACTGAATTAAAAACTCTGTCAGGTTTTGTTCTAGTGCAAATGCGTTTGGTTCTTTGGACAAATTTAACCAAGGTATAAACTTCCATTAAGATTGACTTAGTATGCAATAATTTTATAGATAAAATATCAAAGCAAACCATCCATAGGTTTTTGACAGTACTCTCTACTATATTCTGTATCTAAAAATAGTAAATGGAATACAATGAGAATTATCTTTTGCTAATAGTACTCTATTATTTATTACTAGCTTTTGATTTGTAACTCTTTTAAAATAAATAACATTCCTGGGGCACCTGGGTGGCTCAGTCAGTTAAGCCTCTGACTCTTGATTTTGGATCAGGTCGTGATCTTATGGGTCATGAATTCAAGCCCCTATCAGGCTTTGCACTGGGCGTGAAGCCTGCTTAGTGTTCTCTTTCTTCATCTCGCTCTGCCCCTCCCCCTATTTGAAAATCAGTCAATCAATAACATTCCTAAGTACAACACACCATCATTTAATATCTTACTCTAAAATATGATGCAACTGTTTGTGTCTTCATGTTGATTGTCTCTGTGGTATGACCTGTGGCTTCTCCACTTTGATCCTACAAAGACCAAGAAAGACAGTGATGCTTCAGTATCCACTGTACTTTATGATCTACAAGAAGCGCATGGAATTTCCTTCAGGTTATCATGGTCTATGCATTCAAATACATAAAATAACAAAAGGTTAATATTTTTACTAGGGTAATTGTTTTGTCAGCCTCATTGGAATTTTAATTGGTCTTGCAGGGAATGTGAATGTCTCAGACCTTAGCTAATATATTTTTAGGTGGTCTTACTGTAACATTAAAATGAGCTATAAAAGAAGAGTTAAGAAGGTATCACAAATTCATGATTATTTCAGTGGCTAGCAGTAATATGAACATAACATAGCTGTTTAAGCAGAAAAGAAAGATCAAAGGGAGAAAACCTAAAGTAAAATGCTGTTTACTTTTAGGAACACACAAACACTGTTGTAAAGGTTAGATTTTTACACTCACTGTCATGCAAGATGCATTTTCTTACCTTTGTCAAGTTGATTGATTTTTCTGAATTCCTCATTTGATAATTTATTATATTTCTAGTTTTAGAATGTGGCAGATTACCTATAGGAATGTGGATGAAATTAATATACATTTTTAGTCTTCAATCACTAGAAGACTTTCCTCATTTACTTAAGTATTAAAATAAACATTGTTGATGCCACAATATTCATCCTTGGTTAAGTATTTATGAGAAATTTAAGGATAAAATATTACATAAAAATTTACGACAAATTTTAAGTTCAGAAAAAAAAAACCCAGCTTTGAGATTAGAAAAAATACAGGTAAGTGTTGGATTTCCTTTAACTGCTACAAGATATGGTGTGATTCTGATAAAGGGAACAATTTGCTTCGTGTGTGTGTGTGTGTGTGTGTGTGTGTGTTAAATGGCATCTGAGATTTTTTTTTAATGCAAAGGTAAGCTTTACAACGGGCCTTAAAAATCATACGGATTATTAATTCATGTGAAATGGTTATAAGAAAATCAAGAATGGTTGAGAGTAATGGATATGTTCAATCTAACATTCAGAAATAGTGCCTGTTACTAGGGCTACTTAAATGTGCACAACCTGAGGTTGTGAAAATATTCTGGTGTAGTGAAAAGTTATGGCCCCAGAAGCCAGGAAGACCTGTGGTACTTAAATCGTGTTGCCCGCGGATCATTTACTTAGTCTCTGAGTTGCATTTTGAAACCATATAATGGGGATAATGCTGTCTGCCTCACAGAATTTTGATGACATGTGACAGTCTAGTACATGGTGGGCACCCAGAAATGTTAGTTCATTTTCTCTCCTGTCCCACCTCTCACCAAGCAAAATAACCAACCAAGCCACAATCCAAGAGTTCATCATCCCAACAGTAATGTTCAAATCTATCTCCAGAATTCAGTATCACTTGAGAAAGATTACTTCTTTTCACTCTCATTCTTTTGGGTGAGAAGCAGAGGCTACATGTTTTTTGTTTGTTTTTTAGAGAGAGAGTGTGTGTGTGTGTGCATGCCAGGGGTGGGGTGGGGACAGAGGGAGAGGGAGAGAGAATTACAAGTAGGCTCCATGCCCAGCACGGAGCCTCAGGCAGGGATCAACATCCAGACCCTGAGACCATGACCTGAGCCGAAATCAAGAGTCAGGCGCTTAACCAACTGAGCCACCCAGGTGCCCCAAGGCTACATGTTTTTGACAAATCCTTCACATTCTTTGTGGTGGCGAAAGCCTGGCTCCAAAGTGATGATGCTGGTGGGACCCTGCCTGGGATTTAGCTGGCAGTGCCTCTGCTGTGCTGTCGTCCCCCTTCCCTCGTTACCAAGAAAAGTGCCACGCTGGGCTGCACGCTGCACTGTTCACTCTTCAACTGTGAAACTTACTGCAGATAGCAGAGTGGACAGACATAGTAACACATGGTCTTCAGAGAGGCAGCTGTGGACTTTCATTTGTTTTTTTGTTTTTTTTAAGGGAAAGTTTTAGAAAAACATTACCAAAATTACTATAGACTTATACAAAGAACTAGTAGCACATTAATTAGAATAGACCCATTACTTAATAGATACCATTACTTAATATTAGCCAAATAAGAACTAAAAATTTAAGTTTTTCTGAAAACTAAAAAACTAGAGGAAATTTACTAAGGGATTAATAATTTCAATGTAACAAAATTTATACACCAGTCATCAAATTATTTAACAACAAAATAAACGAAAGCCTTTTTTTTTTTAAACGAAAGCCTTCTAAAAAATTCATTAATGCATTTCAACAGGAACTAAAATTAGCATAGATCTTAATTTCAGAAAATATATCCACTTTGCCTTTATAGTTGACCTGATGAGCAAACCTGTAATAAACCAAGGTAGAGATGTGAGCTGCAAGGCATTGTGGTACATTTCCTCCTAATAATGGCTGAACTGTATTTCATATTTAAAGTCATACATGCAAAGGGTTATCTTAGAATCTTGGAGACAGCATAATACAGAATTGGAAAACCCAAACTTTCAAGCCCACTTCTAAGACTTCCCACAGGAACAACATTGGGAAAGTTGCTCAACATTTCCAAGACTCAATGTCTCATCTGTAACAGTAATTCCTCCTCAGAGTGTTGCTATTAGGAGTAAATAAAAGTAGTCAGCCCAGTGCCTAGCACATTGCAACTTCTAAACAAATTTATGTATTATTATTGTTGTTATCATTATTATTATGTTTGCATATTAGGTGAATATAAAATCCAAATGCCTCTGATAGCTTTGAGATTCAGTCACTGAAACATCTTTGATTATGAAATTCTCTTCTCCCTGGCTAATGAAACATGGTTCTGCTGATAGTCAGGAGACAGAACATAGTATTGAGAACCTGGTTGCATATTTTATAAGGGTAAAAAACATGAGATTAGGTGCACAGACGCAGTTGGTGGATATAGAAAGAGATGACAATTGTTAAAGTCAAAACTGAAGACATTTGCTTCTGGGCATGATAAAGTAACACAGACTGAATTAACTGAAATAACAACAACAACAAAAAAATACAAAATATATGAGGTAACCGTTTTTCTTCCTTTTCATTTTTTATTGTAAAACTTACATAACATAAAATTCAGCATCTTAATCATTTTTAAGTGTATAGGTCAATAGCATTACATACATTCATAATCCGCCATCCATGTCCATAATTTTTTTCATCTTGTAAAACTGAAACTTTATACCCCTTAAATACTAGCTCCCCATTCCTACCATCCCCAGTCCCTGGCAATCATGATTCTGCTTTCTGTCTCTATGATTTTGACTGCCCTAAGTACCTTATTCTGAAGAATCATACAGTATTTGTCTAGGAATAACAGTTTTCATATATTTTGCATCAAGCAGTACAGGACACTGATCCCTGAGTGAGGGGAAACAAATGAGGTGAGCCCTATGGTGACCCCAGTTTCTGTCTAAAGAGATTTTACACTGTAAGGAGGGGAACCCAGGTGAAGACTAGGGAAAATAACAGATGTAACCAATAGAATACACATCAAATGGTAGAGTCAGTCAAACCCAACATATCGATAGTTTGATCACCTCAATTAAAAGGCAGAGATTGTCACAATTTAAAAAGGCCCAAGTACATGCTGTCTACAAAACAAACAAACAAAAAACACTTTAAATACAAACACAAAAATAAGATGAAGTTGAAAGTATAAAAAAAGATATATCATTCAACCACTAATCCTAAGAAAGTTGGAGTCTCCATCAGGCAAAGTAGATTTCAGAGCAAAGAATATTACCAAGGATAAAAATAATAATAATAAAGGGGTCTAGTCATCAAGAAGCTATAATAATTCTAAATGTTTATGTGTCCAATAATAGATCTTAAAAACACATGAAGCAAAAGCTGATAAAAATAAAAGACAAAATAGATAAATTGAATTATAATCAGATATTTCAAAACTCTTCTCTCAGTAACTGGTAGAACCAGGAGAGAAAAAAATAGTAAGGATATAGAAGATTTGACCAATACTATCAACCAAGTTGATCCAATTGACATTTATATAACTCTCCATCCAACACAGTGGAAAATACATTATTTTTAAGTGTAAATGAAACATAAAATAAGATATGCCATATTCAGGGCCATTAAAACATGTCTCAGTAAATTTAAATGGATTAAATCATACAAAATATGCTTTCTGAGCACTATGGAATTATATTAGAAGGCCACAACACAAAGATATGGAAGATCCCAATATTTTTAGAATTGAAATATAATACTCATAAATAGTCCATATAAGTACTTATATTAGAAATGTTTTCTTAAATCAATGACCTAAGGTCTCACCTTAGAAATTAGAAAAAGAAGACAAAATAAAACCCAAAGTAAACAGAAGAAAGGAAACAAAAATGAAAAAGCCCTCCCCCTGCCCCCCTAGGGAAGAAAGAAAGAAAAGAAGAAGGAAAAAAAAAATCAACAAAATAGAAAGCAAAACCAATAGAGAAAATCAGTGAAACTATAAACTATATGCTGGTTCTTTGAGAAGATCAGTAAAATTGACAAATCTCTAGAAAATCTATCAAGAATAAAGTGAAAGAGGACACAAAAGATTCAGATCAGGAATGAGAGAGCTGATAAAACTCCAAGATCTATAGATATTAAAGGATAATAAGGGAACATTATCATCAACATTATGTTAATGAATCTGACTACATAGATGAAACAGATAAATTTCTTAAAAGATACAACCTACTAAAGCTCATTCAAAAAATTAGATAATTAAATATCCTTATATTTGTTGAACAGTTTGAATTTGTAGTCCAAAACCTACTCACAAAAAACCCCTTCTGGCCCAGATGGCTTCACTGGTGAATTTATAAAGGAATTCAGAAAGAAATAATACTCACTCTACTTTTCCTGAAAATTGAAGAGGAAGCAATACTTCTCAATTCATTCGATGAGGCCAATATTACTCTGATCCCAACATTAGAAAAAAATTAGAAGAAAACTATAGCCCAATATCCCTCATGAACACAGACGCAAAAATTCTTAACAAAATGTCGGAAAATTTAATCTTAGCAATACATAAAAGTCCAGTGCATCGTGACCATGTCAGGTTTTTCCCAGGAATAAAAAGTTGGCATAACATTCAAAAATCAATCAACATAACTCGTCATATTTACAGATTAAAAAATAAACGAATTAACATCTCAGTAGATGCAAAAAAAGCATCTGACAAAATTCAAACATGTATACCTGATAAATATTCAGAAAACTAGGAATAGAAAGAATTTCTCCTCCTGAGAAAGAACGTCTATGAAAAACCTACAGGTGACATCATATTTATTGGGGAAAAATTGAAAGCTTTCCCTCCAAGATGAGGAATGAGGCTAGAATGTTCACTCTTAAGCACCTGTATTCAATATTGCATTGGTGATTCTAGCCAGTGCAACCAGGCAAGATGAAGACATAAAAAGTAAACAGAATGGAGAAGAAAGGGCAAACTCTTTTTTCACAGATGACATGATCATCTAAATATCCTATGGAATTTACGAAAAAAGCTACTCTAATAAATAAGCTTAGCAACACTGCAGGGCGAATGATCAATACACAAAAATCAACTGGATTTCCATACACTAGCAACAAACAGAATTTAAATTAAAATTACCATTTATAATAGCATAAAATGTGATATATTAGCAGATAATTTGACAAAGATATACAAGACTCATACACTGGAAACTACAAAATATTGCTGAGAGAAATTAAGGAAGACTTAAATAAATGGAGACTATATTGTGCTCCCTGATTGGAAGACCCAATATTGTGAAGATATCAATTCTGCCAAAATTAATCAATAGCTTCAGTGCATCCCAATCAAAATCTCACCAGGATTTTTGGTAGAAATCGACAAGCTTATTCTAAAATTTATATGGAAAAGCAAAGGAATTATAATTGCCTCGACAACTCTGAAAAAGAACAAGAGTTGGGTAGCTTATACTACCTGATTTCAATTTTTTTAAAAATAAAGTTACAGTAATCAAGAAGTGTAGTACTGCCATAAAGACAGACAAATATCAGTGAAAAGTCTAGAAACAGACTTACATTCAATTGATTTTCAACAGGGCACCCAAGCAATTCAATGGGGGAAAGAACAATTCTTTCAACCGATGGTGCTAGAACAAATGGAGAGGGGTCAGGAGTGGTGGTGGGAAGGATTCCAGAGTGATGAGGAAACATCATCTGGGGGTGATGAATATGTTCACTCACTACTGAATGTGGTGATGGTGTTTATGCCTGTCAAAAACTCATCACATTTTACTGTCTAAACACGTGCTATTTATTGTGCCAGTTATATCTCAATAAAACCGTAAAAAGAAATGCAAAATAATACCAATAAAGAAAAATAACCCAAACTACATTTCTTTTCTACTTAAAAGCAAATGCAAACATGTATATCGTTGGGTGGAGCAAACACATGTAAGCTTTTAGTCAATAAGACAGAGCTCACTAAACCTATAGTCTTTTTTTAAAGTTTATTTTATTTTATTTATTTATTTGACAGAGAGAGAGACAGCCAGAGAGGGAACACAAGCAGGGGGAGCAAGAGAGGGAGAAGCAGGCTTCCTGCAGAGCAGGGTTCCTGATGCGGGGCTCGATCCCAGGACCCCGGGATCATGACCTGAGCCGAAGGCACATGCTTAACCATCTGAGCCACCCAGGTGCCCCTAAACCTTTACAGTCTTAAAGTACCACCCCAAAGCTGCCCAGTCCTGAAACAGAGGTCATTCTGAACTCTTTAGAGGTGAGCATATTCTTCTAGTGAGTAGTTAAAATACCACCATATTTTTTGGTCAGTTCTTCAGACACTTTTCTTTATTGAAAACCTAGTTTGTTTATACTTATTTTTACATGTTCTTCAGACAATCTGGGCAGAATGTATTAAAAAATGCGTATTTAGTGAGCTAAAAACAAACCAACATAAAGAAATTGAGGATTATACTCATGGAAAGCACAGCCAGAAACTACTGGATTGGGCCTGAGGAACTTTCTCAGTTAAAGGAAATTGCCTTAGCTTACCTGTTTTTGTCAGAGGGTGATTGACTAGTTGCCGAATCACACTGTTTTCTGATGACCTCAAAAGCAGCACAATATCAGTTGGAAGACTGTCTCTATTTTTAGCTAAGAACCCATTTGCATTATAGAGGACCTGTTGATAAAGTATATTTCAGTATCACAAAGGATGTCATTCTCATTATCATCACCATCAACAGCGGCAGAATCATCAATAGGTATTTGTTGAGAACTTCCTCTGTGCTGAGCGACAGGTACACAAAGATTTATAAAGGTAGTCCTTTACAACTTGGTTGGAAGAGCAAACTTTTCCAGGTCTAGAGTATATTTTGTCAGAGAGAAATCTGTGTCTTGCTAATTTATTTGGGTTAAAATCATAAAAAAGGTTTGATCCCTCTCATTTATTATGTTGGAAATTTGGTAGTGTTTCCTTTCTCTGTTTGGAGGGTTGAGAGTGACGTAAAGGAGGCACCCTGGGCCATCAAGGGATTCTCGTTTCTATGATAACTGATTCACGTGCAATGAACTGGCCATTATAGATTTTCGTCTCTGTAAGTAGTATGGTCTAAGTACACTATGAGGATTCATGTTTCTGGCACTTCTAAATAATTTTAAGACTTTCTAAAGATCAGTGTGACCCAAAGATTTCTGTAGGATGGATGATCTAATATGGTTGTTGTTATGGGTTGAATCGTGTCCTTCCAAAATTAATATGTTGAATTCCTCATCCCAAATGTGACTGTATTTGGATAGGGTCTTTAAGGTGGTAATTAAGGTTAAATGTGGTCCTAGGGGTGGGACCCTAATCCCATAGGACTGGTATGCTTGTAAGAAGAGAAAGACACACTGGAGATCTCTTTCCCCCGTCAATTACCCAGGTAAAAGGCCACATGAGAACACTGTAAGAATGCACCCATCTGCAAGACAGGGAGAGAGCTCTCACCAGACATCGGCCTTGCTGGCACCTTGATCTTGGACTTCTAGCTTCCAGAACTGTGAGAAAATAAGTTTCTGTGCTTTAAGCCACCCATCCTGCATTATTTTTCTTATGACAGTCCAAGCAGACTAATATAGCTGTTAAAAACAACTGGATAAAATGATCATAGGAAATTCTTAATGGATGTTTTTAGAAAAGGCTTATTTGGAAAAATCATATGCTGAACACCATGGGAGAGGCCAAAACTAAAATCGTTAAGGTAGATTTTTTTTTCAGTGACAAAAGTCTGTGGAATATTGAAGTCTGTGGAATAGAGAAGTCCTAGTAGACCTAAATCTTCCAGGTTCTGTGTTATTTCATTTTGTTCATGTATTTCTCATTCTATGTGTTTCTTTCTTGATTTTAATATCTTCTCAGTCCTCCAATATTTACAACATCATTGTGAAGGAATGACCTGTTATTCTCTGTGGAAGGGAAACAGAGCATCCTTGGGTTTAGGACAATATATCTGAGGTTTGCTCTGCTGTGGGAATGTGCATCTATCAATGCATAAACTTCCAACTGCTGAACAGTCCATTAGTCAACGCCACCTAGGATAGCACCATTACCCGACAACACCTCCAATCTGGCACTTTCTCCTGTTGGGTAGGAGGAGAGACAAAGGCTTCTGTGGAGAGAGAAGTACCTCAAGTCTATAAAAGGCAGTTTATACAAAAGGTTCCCACCTATCATGAAAAGAAGGAAAAAGTAGGTCCCCATTGCCAGCCAATCTCATCCAAAGCCAGATCTTATGATCAGAAAGATGGAAGCTTTGATACTTGTCTTTCTCTTTTCTTTTCTTTCTTGTTTTCCCTTAGTTTCTTAATAAAAATTCCTCTAGAAAAACTATAAGACTGTGTTTGAAAAAGTAGGAGAAGGATTTTTTGTTCACTTTTTCAGGACAGAGTGTAGGAAGCTGGAGAACAGACAGGGCCAGATTGGGGCAGAAACAGGTGGCTATCTCATTATAACCATCTGTAAATATTTCGGGCCATAGTTTTCATGTTTATCATTATTATTTGATGAAAGACTAAGAGAAACTCAGTCATAATTCTTCACAGTTCTTACCTTTCCTGCATAGTGGTGAATTCCAAAACTAAGTTCCATTCTTTTGGGCCTCCAGAAGTACTGTGATTTCAGGTTACCTTCAAATTTTTCTATAGGAAAAAAAATTGAACTCCACTATCAAGCCATGTAAGGAGATCTTCAGAAAATACTGATTGACAGAATCATCTCTTTCACTATAAAATGGACAATGTGCAGTGAAAAGACAATTTTATATAGCTGATAAATGAGATTAGGAGCACAAATGGTGAGACTAAACTCAAGATCATGAATTTAACCATTCTATTATGATTTAGAGCAGCAGTTCTTAAACCTTGGCAAGCAACAGAACCCACCCCCCCCACCGGCCCCAGAGGACCTATTAAAACACAGAGTTTCTGACTTAGTAGGTCTGGGAGTGGGGGGAATCCGAGAAGGATTCTACTTGGAAGTAGAGGAAGGAAATTACCTGAGATGAACTGATCAAAGAGGTTTGTGAAACCCAGTTTGATGTGAAGCCATGAGCCTAGAAATTTGGTATTCTGGCTCTCCTTTCTATTAGAATAAGTTATTACTGATTACATAGGAAAAATGTAGGGTCATAAAGGCAGTTACAGTCCTATAACAATTGTGTCACCTTCAGAGAATTTTTTACTCCACGTCCTAGAAGGGACATTTTAACCTCAAAAATCAAGTGACTGCTACGAGACAATTTTCCCCAGAACTTTGGGGTTGTTTTGTTTTCCATCAGTACTGTCCAATTAGAGGAGAGAATAAGCCAATGAGTGAGTCAGCAGGAAGCAACATCACAGACTTACTGGTAAGAAACAGACTCTATCACCCAAAGTAAATGAGAGAAAATGTGAATCCAAATTTTCTGCAAATATTTATTATACATAATCAATATCTCCAACCATCAGGGAATACAGTATTTCTACATTAAAAAATGATTTTTTTTACTTGAACAAGCTAAAGTTTTATTTTTTAATCTAAGGAGTAAGACGTTTTTAATTTTAACCATTTTAGATGATAATCTTTTAAACATCTTTGCCTTCTCAAACAGAAAAAATGAATATGTTTATGCTTTCTTTGATGACTCAGGATTATTGTGAATATTTATTAATGTACTGTAATTCAGAGATTATTAAAGTATTGGAGGCTATTTGCCTCTATTAGTCAAGTGCCTAGATGAATTTATTTCCTTCTCATTAGCTATCTCTTTTCAAATTCCAGAGCTGGCCTTTTGCCCTGCCCTTAAATTTCTAATTTGGGGCTAGGTAGTTTCTTTTTCAGGGAGGGGGGCCTTGATAATTTCTAAGGTTATTTCTAACATAAGATCCTATGACTGGGGCTCTACCAATGTAAGAAGTCCAATATCAAACTTGTTTAATTCATCACTAAATGTTTCACCCTATTTTTTTTAATTTAATTTTATTATGTTATGTTAGTCACCATGCATTACATCATTAGTTTTTGATGTAGTGTTCCATGATTCATTGTTTGCGTCTAACACCCAGTGCTCCATTCAATACGTGCCCTCCTTAATACCCATCAGTGGGTTAACCCATCCCCCTCACCTCCCTCCCCTCTAAAATCCTCAGTTTGTTTCTCAGGGTCCATAGTCTCTCATGGTTCATCTCCCCCTCCAATATCCCCCCCTTCATTTTTCCCTTCCTACTTTTTTTTTTTTTTTAACATATAATGTATTATTTGTTTCAGAGGTACAGGTCTGTGATTCAACAGTCTTACACAATTCACAGCGCTCACCATAGCACATACCCTCCCCAGTGTCTATCACCCAGCCACCCCATCCCTCCCACCCCACCCCCCACTCCAGCAACCCTCAGTTTGTTTCCTGAGATTAAGAATTCCTCATATCAGTGAGGTCATATGATACATGTCTTTCTCTGTTTGACTTATTTCGCTCAGCATAATACTCTCCAGTTCCATCCACGTCATAGCAAATGGCAAGATTTCGGTTTTTTTTGATGGTTGCATAATATTCTATTGTGTGTGTGTGTGTGTGTGTGTGTACCACATCTTCTTTATCCATTCATCTGTCGATGGACATCTTGGCTCTTTCCATAGTTTGGCTACTGTGGACATTGCTGCTATAAACACTGGGGTAAATGTACCCCTTCTCACCCTATTTTAAACATTCACTGGTCCAGATATTAGACCCAAAGCCTCTTCTTTAAAGTTACATATGCAGGCTTTGTGATAGCTATTTTCTCCCAGATAATTAAAAAAATTCTTTTTAAGTCATTCAGAGCATTATACAACTGAAGCAAAAAACAATGCAGACATATGTATTTAAAACTCACCCACAAGAGTCTGGTCAGTGGCCTTGGGAAATTGACTTTCTTCATCGAGTAGGGATAGTAGACCCATTGGCTTCTGCAGAAACATATCTAGGAGGGGCAGGTTATCTTCATATTCAATCACTCTGGCATTAACACCTTCATTTAGGTATTCATTCTATAACAGGACACGATACATAGAAAAAATTCACTAAAAGATTTGTGAATTGTGAAATTGTGAATTTGTGATAGGTAGCTTGACAGTAATTACCACGAACTTTTTTTTACACATATTATAATAAATTGCTTCCTATGACATTGCCATTAAACTGAGGCTATCGTTTTATTTTTCTTTCCCCAAAATTGCTACTTCATTAAAGTCAGCGGTGGCTCAGGGTAATAATAAAAAGTTTCTAGTCTCTATACCAGAATTATAGACATCTTAGGCTTTCAAAATGCAAGAGAACATGTTGGTAACAAGCAGTAATAAAGTTACACTCCAGAATTTATAGAATATCAATTAGGTATATCTTAGAGTTACATTTCCCCCAATTTAAACTTTTGATCTAGTTTCAGAAATGGATCTCTCAAGAACATTTACTTAACTTCTCAGTCACCGTGACATTTACATTGTTAGTAGGTGGACAAGTGGGTCATAGGAACAACAAGTGGATTTAGAACCAAGAACACAAAGGTTCATATCCGAGCTCTGCCTCTTAACTAGCCATATAATCCTTTGGAAATTTCTTTTACTCTGTAATCTCCCACTGCCTCATTTATCACATGGAGGAAATGATCTCCATCTAACAAAGTAAATCTATCTGGTACATTAATAATCAGTTGCTGTTGAGTATACTATAAGATGCATAAAATAAAAACGACAAATAACAATTAGTGTTAAGATCATGGTGCCCGAACAACACAGATGTTGATGATTTTTTTTGCTAAAGGGGCATGAAGAGCTGTGCTCTTGTTCTGTTTATGACTCTTCCCTCACACTGTGCCCCTCCCCCAGTGCTACACTTTGTAAGGGGACATGCATGACCCCTGGAAGACTTGTAGTCATGCTCCCATGCTTGGCACTCACCGGTTCTCAGGTGACCAAGCAGCTATCACTGGGAAGCGTATGAAACAACTCTTGACTTGGGCAGAATATCCTGCACCATTCATAAATATAAAATGACAGGCTCTTTTCATTATTATTTTAACTTAAAAAAAAATCTTTTTTTAAGGAGGCTCCACGCCCAGGACGGAGCCCAATGTGGGGCCTGAATTCACAACCCAGAGACCAAGACCTGAGCTGAGATCAAGAGTTGAAAGCCTAACTGACTGAGCCACCCAGGGGCCCCTTCATTATTATTTTAATATATTCTTTAATTCATTAAAGATTTTCATTAAACATCTCATAATAAGGCACCGTGATGGGTGATAAAGAGATGTTTTAACACAAACTCCCTGTCCTCAGTGGATTTAAGATATAACTTGAGTGATAAGGTTAGTAAATAAATACTCAAAATGCAAGGTAACATATGATAGATAAACAATATGTACAATGTATTATAAGGAGTTCAGAGAAAGAGAATTTATTTCCAGCAACTTTGTGGAGCAATTAGCCAATGGCAGGTGGGGCATTTGATAAGCCTAAACTTTTTTTTTTTTAAATTTATTTGAGAAAGAGAGAATGAGAGACAGCACGAGAGGGAAGAGGGTCAGAGGGAGAAGCAGACTCCCTGCTGAGCAGGGAGCCCGATGTGGGACTCGATCCCGGGACGCCAGGATCATGACCTGAGCCAAAGGCAGTCGCTTAACCAACTGAGCCACCCAGGCACCCAAGCCTAAACTTTTAATCAGTATTTTGGAGTCTTATGAAATTGAAATCTCATTTCAAGGGTGTCACCAGGAAAACTAAATGTACATTTTTAATACAAAAAACTAATATGTAAAAATTTGGCAGTGCCCTTTGGCCTAAAAGGTAGATCACCTGAAGGTCATTTAGTTTAGCCAGTACATAAAAATAGAAACAATGTCTGGAAGTTTCACAGCTTTTGCATTTGAAGGTAACCTTGGGAGCAATATGCAGACCCAGAATGACTTTACTAGTAGACACATCAGGCTGACAGCACATTACAGCTTAAATGACAACTGCAAAGTTCAGAAGAGGTTTTGTATAGAAAGCACACAAGGTTAAGGTCTAAATCAATGCATTTGTCATTTCTATTTGCCTGTGTCAAAATCCACGGAACGCTTTTGTGGCAGGTCAGACAGAACAGAGATGAGTAACTTGGAAAACAACGGGCCCCCCTCAAAGATACTTGTTAGTATTATGGACTCCAGGCAAACCAACGGAGAGAACATCCTATTACTCAGGATTTATAAAGCATTTTTAGTACAATGAGCCTGCCTAAAACAGATTATGTATTTTTATAGCGGTTATGACGTCAAGATACTTAGTTGTTTTTAAGCATAAGTGGAGAAACGAAGCTCGTATAACTTTTTTTTTTTTTTAAAGATTTTATTTATTTGAGACAGAGAGAATGAGAGAGAGCACATGAGAGGGGGGAGGGTCAGAGGGAGAAGCAGACTCCCTGCCGAGCAGGGAGCCCGATGCGGGACTCGATCCAGGGACTCCAGGATCATGACCTGAGGTGAAGGCAGTCGCTTAACCAACTGAGCTACCCAGGCGCCCCTCGTATAACTCTTAAGAAAGTCCTCTGCTATGCCCTGTACCTTAAAAATACATTTAGAGCAGAAGGTAAGTGGAGTTATTAACTGCAGTAAAGGACTGTTTAGCATATATTACCTCTGCTCTGAGTTCCCTTTTGAGAAGGGCAGGTGAATAATTATTTAAGTATAAATCAAGGAAGTGAGGGAAATCAGAAGACTTGGATGTTAAGGTGGCTTCATGCCTGAGTCGAGAGCTTGCTTGTTTTTCATTGAGTTTTCAGTGTGATTTGGAAAAAGGACACGGTGGCAAGAAAGCCCATGGAAGGTGCCCCGACCCACAGCTCTGGCCTAGGTACAGGGCTAAAATGTCACCGCAGGAGAGAGTCTCGATGAAAAAGTTGAGTCCTCAGCCTCACACAGCAGCATGGAAATGTGGCTCCCATAGGCTGAGAGGCTGCAAGCTTCCACGTGGCTTGGAAGGTGGGTGGGAACGTGAGCTTTGCCCCCTCCGCCCAGACTGTCACACGATGCAGGATGGACTCTGACCTCCTCAGAGAGACCTTCCCCCATCACCCAGACTAATTCAACAACCCTCCTTCTTCTGCTGGTCACTCTCTATCCCTCCTCCATCATGTTTTAAATTCTTTCACGGCATTTCTAGCATTTTTACTGGTTTATTATTCGCCCTCTCTTGTTAGATGGGAACTCCAAGAGGACAAGCACTTTTACTCACCTCTCTATTATGGAGCTCAGTTTCTAGGGAGACCTGAGCATGTTAAATAAATGATTGCGTGTTAAAGATTGAACTGTCCCCTCCCCACCCCCAAGTTCATAGGTTGAAGCCCTCAAATCCAATGTGAATTTGGAGATTGGGCCGTTCAGGAGGTAATTAAGGTCAAATGAGGAAATCAGGGCAAGGCTGGAATCCCACAGGGTGAGACCCCAGGGAGGCGACTGCGCGGAGTGAAAGCCATGTGAGGTCACAGGGAGAAGGCAGCCATCTGCAAGTCCAGGAGTCCGGCCTCAGAGAAACCAAACCTGTCCCTGCTTTGATCTTAGACTTCTAGCTTCCAGAACGGTCAGGAAATAAACTTCTGTTGTTTCAGTTCCCCAGTCTGTGATATCTTATGGCAGCCCCAACAGAGGAATACATGAGCTTTCTGGATTCCTTTTGTTAAAAGTCATTTTGAAAACCTGTTTTCCAGATAGAGGAAGACTGGAGTGAAAACAATAAATCATGTGTGCATGCGTAATCCTCAGCTTCTGATTATAAATATAATACATGCTCATATAAAATTTAAAATACGGAAAAACTATGAAGACCTCAAAATTCACATACAAATTCATCTCCTCTAAATGCTTAACAATTAGGGGAATCTTTTTAGTCTTTCTCTATGCATAATATTTTTGATAACAAAAATTATGCTGTTTATTCAATTTTAATTTTACCTTATTTCCTTTGACAAAATGGAATGGAGAACACGTAATTAATATATTTTCATGAACATTATTTGAATGGCTACCAAAGATTATATACTGTAGTTTTCTATTCCATTTTCTTATTTGGGGACATTTTAGATTATTTCTTTAACTATTTATTTTTTATTTTTTTTAAGTAATCTCTATACCCAGCGTGGGACTTGAACTCACGACCCTGAGATCAAGAGTCCCATGTTCCACCAGCTGAGCCAGGCATGTGCCCCCTATCTATTTTAAATAGTGCTCTGATGTACATCTTTGTGCACCAAGTTTTTCTGTATTTTGGATTTTATCTTTAGGACAGATGAGCTGGTCAACTCATAAATGTTTTACAGGCTCCTGATGAGCATTTCTAGATTGATTGCTTTTAAAGCTTGCAGCAATGTGCTTTCTAATCAGCACTGCATACATACTCCTATGTGTACGCACTTGCTGCATCCTCGCCCGCACTGAATATTCTCATTAAAAACCTTTTTCTGGTATCTTTGATAGGTGAAAATGATAGCACATTGTTGCATGTGCGTTTCTTTGACTAGATCTTAAACTACTTAAGAAGATAGTTCGGAGGGGAAATAAAGTAGATCTATGCCTAACACATTACACAATGACTGCCAGCTACTATGAGGAGTGTTATTATTCTGGAACAGATAATAATAAACATAATTTAACTTCTTCTTGGGCTCAGAGATAACATCACACCCCCGTCCCTTGTTGTGATATTGCTGAAGATTCATGAAGCTAGAGATCAGAGTTAAGCAGAGGAAAAGCTCTTCACTGAAAACATCCCCGATGTCAAGTTAACTTGTTCCTGTCTCTTTCTTATTTGTTTCTACATGTTCTCCTGGTCATGTGCTATCACTATCTTCCTTAGCAATCATTCCTGAGGACACCTGGCTAGTTTAGTCAGCAGAGAATAAGCCTCTTGATCTCGGGGTTGTAAATTTGAGCCCCATGGGGGGTGTAGAGATTACTTAAAAATACCTTAAAAAAAAAAAAAAAGAATCCATTCCTGAAGCTGGATTCTGACTGACTTTC